ACAGAGAATCCCAAGCAGGCTCCGCACTGCCCGCGGGGACCCCAACGTGGGACTGGAACTCACAAATGGTGAAATTGTGACCTGAGCTGAAATCAAGAGTCGGACCCTCAACTGACTGAGCCACCCAGGCGCCCGCCCCCACTACGTCTTTTCATGGCTTGCTAGCTCATTTCTTTTGGGCTCTGAACAATATTCCATTGCCTGGACGGACACCGTTTATTTATGCATTCATCTGCAGAGGGGTATCTTCGTTGCTTCCAAGTCTTGGCGATGATGAATAGAGCTGCTCCAAGCATCACGTGCAGGTTTGTGCGTAGATGTAACTTTTCAGCTCGTTCAGGTAAATACCGAGGAGTGCCACTGCTGGACTGTATGGTAAGTCCTATTTAGTAATTCCCCCAATGTAGCTGGCTGGCCTTTAACTCTAGATACTAGAAAAGCTCCTTTAAATGTTAAGCATTTTTTGATGTGGACGTAGTGACACTGACTAGCTGTAGAGAGGCAGGAAGTCGTGTGCCGATGGACTCTCAGCCCTAAGGAGCAGAGCCTGGAGGGGATAGGTTACCAAGGAGAGGGCTCAAGATTTCAGGTAATGGGCTCCACAGGAAAGTCCTTGCCAGCCGGTCCCTTTATGACCCCAGATGACAGATCCCGAAAGCCTTCCCACTGATGCAAACCTGCTTATAAAGGCAAAAACTGGTCTAGCAGCACCAGCCCTGAAGACACTGGATAGAAGCCTGAGGAGCAGACAGTGGGTACCTTCCTCTTCCCACCTTTTGTCTACGAAAGGCATGCATAATCAGGTTCTGGGGTACACGGCAGGGACCTCGCTGTTCCCCAAAGTCCTTGTTTGCCTCTTTACTGCCAAAAAGAAAACATAAAACCCAATCGATCAAACGCGCTATGGGAAAGCTTTTGTCAAGTCCATCCTCCAAGCCAGAGGTTGCTAAACCGGCCAAAGTGGCCCAGTTTTGTGCTAAATGATCAAAGGAGCTCAAGGAAGTGAGCATTTCAATAACAACAACTCCTGCAAAAAAAGAGCTAAGGAGGAAATACATTCTTTTTAATTTATTTTAACATTTATCTATTTTTTGAGAGACAGAGAGAGAGAGACCGAGTGTGGGCGGCAGAGGGGCTGAGAGAGAGGGAGTCACAGAGTCCGAAGCAGGCTCCAGGCTCTGAGCTATCGGCACAGAGCCTGATGTGGGGCTCGAACTCACAGACGGTGAGATCATGACCTGAGCTGAAGTCAGACGCTTAACCGACTGAGCCACCCAGGAGCCCCTACATTCTTT